GGGGGGGGGGGGGGGGGAGGACGGGAAAGGGATCCCGAGCGGGTCGTTGCGGGCCCCCCTCCTGGGCCTGCACAACCTTGCAGCAGCCTGCAACTGCAGAACCCGCACTCTTTTGCAGCAGCATCACCGCTGGTGGGTCTGGCTTAACCTGCAGTGCCCTCTCCAATCCCGTCAACCCTCTGCACCACTCCGCAAGGCCTGTGTCATGATCGCCGGCCCGGCGCCCTCCCCCTCCGCTTCTCTAGAACGGCCCATCCCAGAAATCCACCTCAGCATCGCCCGCGATGCCCCCATGACACGAACCGCCCCTGCACAAAACACTGCCCGCCCTGAAAACCTTGGTCTGAAACCCCTGGCAGCGCCGCAACCACCCTGAAAAAACCTTCGCAGGCGTGCACCAAGGATGGCAAGGTCCCTTGGTACCCCGAGTACCGTGATGTGCCGCTGGCCGGCAACCCGTGAAAGAATGACGTCATCAAGCAGGCGACACCATGACACCACTATGACTGGGCGGCACTGCGTTTTGCATGAACCTACGGCTATCCTTCAAAGGGGGCAGACTTGATTTCGGCGGCCTTTGGTGGGCCCCCAAAGGTTGGCCGCACCCGGCGTCGCACGCTGCTGTGGCGAGCAGCTACTTTTCCGCTGCTCGACCGGCGCCGGGGGGAGCTGCGGGCGACCTCCGCCTGGGATGCGGATGAGCTGAGGGAAGGGACGCTGCTGGGCTGATCCAGGCGCTGCGTTCGGGGGAGCAGTGCTGCATGCATCAAATTCACAAGGGGATGCTGCGTAACTGCACCCCCGGTCATCACACAGCAAGACGTATGGGAGGCGTTGGAGAGAGGCTCGCCTGCCCCTGCACACCCACGGGCAATCCGGCAAGCGCGCGGACGCCAAGCCGGCGCGGGAGCCACGGCTGGCTGCCTGCCGATGCATCATTCCTGACTTTGTATTCGAGCAGTGGGCATGCAGGCATGCTGGGTGCCATGATGCACCGGCCGACGGCGGCGGCGTTTCGAGGGGGGTCTTTGCTCGCTATTTTCCTTCATGCATGATGCATCGCATGACCAATCACACGACTAATCATGCCGAAGAAGGTACTGTATGGCAGGCTTTTCACCTGATACACTTGACACACACACATTGAACGCGGCTCGCAGAACCCGCACCCTGCTGCAAAGCAGGCGCTCATACACCCCAGCGGCGCCGTTGACAGCGTTTGCGCCTTTCAACATTCGACTCTGCAGAGCATACCCTGACCGCAAAGCATACTGTGCCCGCACAGCACACCTTGACCGCGAGTGCGTCGACCCTGGCGCGGCCAACACGACCGCCGCACCCCAACACATGAGGGCTTCTGCTGCCCAAGTGCCCACACCCTTCACGCATGCATACTGTCCGGCTGCGAAATTTGGCTCGCTCCAGCTGGCGCTGCTCCTCTGGAACGTTGTGAGCGGCAGTAAAGAGAGTTGGCCACGCCAGGCCCTTGTTTCCCCATCCAGGACCGACACTGGCATCGGCACAGGGACCAGCACAGTAACCGGCATAGCCATCAGCTACCCAATCTTGCCCAGAGACGGCCGCTCTTCAGGCGCGGGCAATGGCTGCTGTGCTGCCTGCGCAGTTTCCCTGGCAGGCGGCAGGCCGGCAGGCGGCAGGGTACCTGTCTTAGGCAGGCCCTGCCCAGGGCTGGCTTGACATCGCAGGCTTTCATATGCAACTGGAAGGCGGGCAGGCGGCAGGGTTACACCCGTCAGCAACGCAACCGACCCCGGCGAGGTTGGTGACAGAGATTTGGCGTTGAGCCGTCAATCAACGTGGGCTCAACGCACCTGGAGGCACGCGTACGCGGCTCGCCTGCCTCACGACTGCAACTTGTCAAAAACGTTAAGTTGCAGTGTGAAACGCCCTGCACCTCCTGCCCTGGACGACAATCGCACACTCTAGGGGAGCCCGCTGAATGTTGCACCAGGCAGGGCAGGCAGGGGATGCTGCTGAGCGTGCCGGGCCCCGGACGCCCGCGTCGACGTGCCCTCGGCATCCGGCCCTTGGCCCCGGTGCAGCTTCATTGTGGGATACGGTAACGCTCACCACCATGATTACTGTGGGGCGGCGCCGTGCGCCCAACAGACCTGGGATTCAACCATATGTGGTGTGTGTGTCACCAAGCGCTACCAGCATCAGGGACCTCTGGTTGTATGCCGCCAGAGCCGGCGTATTGGTGCTGGCTCAGGCTGTCTGCACCCACCATGGTATCATAGGGATGAAGGGGAGGCAGAAGAGACATCGGCTCATGGACAGCCTCGTGTGCAATCGGCCGCACCCACCCCAGAATAAAAATCAGTCAAGCTCTCTTGCTTTCTTGCACGGCTTTCTGGCGGATTCAATGGCCTGCGTCACGTCGGCCGGTGCAGCGTGGATTGCGACAGCGCGGGACACACGCAAGGCGGTCGGGCATCCTTGCAACGCGCGGCGGCTGACGCGAGCGCAGCATCATCGCAACTTATAGGAAAAATCCAGTTTAGATCGTTGAATTGAGCGGTTCCGAAAGATCAGTGAAGCAGCGCGGGTGTCGTGATTACGGCACTCGAGCTGCGCGACCAAGCTCAAAATCCATCCAGTGTCGCCCATTGTTCAGTATCTGGAACAAAACCAATTGCTACCTTCTATACATCATCTTCCCGCCACGCCTCATCACATACACCTTGGGCTCCTTCGGTGCAATCCAGCCCGCGCGTCTCGCCCGTCCGTCGCCATCAGCTTATACGATTTTCAACTCATCTACAAGACCTACATAGGCCCGCACACCTCGTCCGACATCGCTGCCGCGCGAACCGACAGTCTGGAAGCGATGGCTATGCCTTGCTTGGACGGCCTATGGGGCTCCACCGACATGCTCATGGAAAGCGAGCTATCGTCCGACTACTCTGACGACGGCTCGCTGCCGCCGCCCTCCGGCGCGCACGCCGTCCTGTCGGGCGATTCCGAGCTCGCCGCGGCCTGCTGCAGGGCAGACCCCCACGGCCTCGCCGCCGCCGTGTCCTCATGGCTCATGAGCTTCGGCGCCGCCAAGCCCTTCTCAACAGGCAGCTCGGAGGAGCTGCGGGCCGCGCTGCGGTGAGCGGCAGGGGCGGTTTCTGGAGGTTGGGGCGGTGGGCAGGGCGGGCGCATAATGGGCGCCTCATGCGGCCACTCGCGCCGGCCCTGGACTGTCCCCACGACCCTCCTGATCGCCCCGCCCTTCGGCCCTGCGTCACACAGTGCCACCTTTCTCGTCCGTGGCTGCCTAGGGCGCCTGTGTACGACGCCCGCAGCGGCCGCGGCGCGCGCCCCGTACGCTTCGTCCCCCCCCTGAC